GGAGTGTCTGAATCTAGTAGAGACTAGGGCAGTCCCCAGTATTTGAGAGGGAGCTGCACCTCCCCATCTAAGTTATACAAGAGTACGAATGATTTTTTGTTTGATCCTATAACTAATGGCCGAGAATGATAAGGAACATTTGACTTTCTTAATCCCAAGACCTGCCCAACTGTGAAACTCATTCTGGTTGATGGCCAAGGCATTACGCACGGAGCTATCTGCGAAAATGAGTACATCATCAGCATATATTATATGAGAAAGATAAAGTTTATGAAATCTTCTTGAATAGGTGATCAGGTTGTTGTTTACTCCCCTATTAAAAAGCTGGCTGAATATTTCCGGGTGAAAAGATAGGCTCTAAGAGACCTGTCTCAAACCGCAGCCCCCCTAAAGAAGCTAGATGGAGATCCGTTAATCATAACTGCAAAGGACACTATGGAGATACATTCTCTAATCCATCTTACTTAAATTTTAGGAAACTTCAAGGATTCAAGGGTATTGAGGACAGCATCCCAAGAAACGGAGTCGTACGCCTTCCGAATATCTAACTTGGCGCAAAATTCAGGAGTTCCTTTGTCTCTATGAAAGTGACGGACTAGCTTATGAGCCAGAAGAATGTTTTCACTGATGTTCCTGCCTTTAATGAAAGCCGACTGATGGGGACCCACCAACTCATCAAGCACTTCCCTAAGTCGATTCGCCAAAATTATCGAGATTTTCTTTACGAGCATGTTGCACAATGAAATAGGTCTGAACCCTCAAAGAGCCCCGGGTTATCCACCTTAGGGATCAGCTCAAAAAAAGTTAAGTTGACCTGTTTTAACAACTTTCGACTTCGAAAGAAGTTCGATACAACTTTGCACACGTCATATTTGATGATTCCCCAACAACCTAAAAAAATGGGCATTGAATCCATCCAGACCTGGGGCTTTATCTGATTTAAAATTCAACACAACCTTCTCAATTTCATCTGCCGTGACCTGTCGAATTAATCCTAGCTACTGATCCTCAGTAAGGACTCTCTCAAACTGAAAATGGCTATTCACATTGCAAGATCTGATCTGTCCCAAAGAAATGATCAACTACAGTAGCCTTGATGCTAGTCTCCCCATGTTCCATGTGGCCGTTATCATCTTTAATGGAACGCAAAGTCTTTCGGGCTCTTCTTTCGGGTAAGGCTGCTCATATAGTTCTTGTCTTTCTATCTCCATTTTTCAAGCACAGGACCCGATCTTTTTGTCTCATAAGAGACTCCTCCGCATCAAGCATTGCATTAAGTTCATATAGTTTTCGAGTTTCATCCATCGCTGCTTGCTCATTTCCTTGGTCCTTCGCAAGAATGGTTTGGATCTCGTACAGCTTATCTTTAAGGACTTTGATTCTTTCATCTATTTTGCCAAATGTGGTAACGTTCTAACTTTTTTGCGCCTCTTTGACCGCTTTAAGCTTTTGGACCACTTGGAACATGGGGTTGCTCTCAACTCCGATATTCCATGCTTGCTCCACAGTTCGGAGAAATTCGGTTAGACTACGCATTAATAAACCTTTAAGGTTTATGGTTGTGCTGCACTGAGTGATTCAACTGAATAATGCCTGGGGCATGGTCAGAGAGTCCATTAGTACCAGTAATAACTTTAGCTTCAGAGAAGAGGGTAACAATCTCATGGTTAACCAGAATTCTATCTAACTTGCGAGCTATTCTTCTTGGCCAAACTCTTTGTTAGACCACGTGAAGGAGTCCCCATCCCATTTTGGTTCCACCAAAGCAAGGGCTTCAATGCTTTCATTGAATTCCATGATGAATCGGGTTGCTGAAAAAGTCTTTCTAAGGGTCACAAAGAGGAGAAAGCTTGTTGACTCAAGAACGCATTTTCCTTCAGCCTTCGCAAACAAAGAGTTTGGTTGAAATGTTTATAAATATTGCATGTTATATTTGTTTATATATATAGTTAGTTGACTAAGCCCTATGAATTAGTTCCAAGAAAGCAGTCGTTCACGTCAGGAATAGAGGTTGTTGATGTAGTTGCTTGTCATTTTCAGATGAATTTAGTGTTCAGTGTACCGCACTTACCCGGAAAGCCAGTAAAAGCTTTCTCAAATAGGGGGTACAAGATTGAAAAGAATGCATTGCATTCCAAGTGAGATGCCAAAGAGAAAAGGAACGAGGGGAAGAATCGACGAGGAATCTATAACATAAAATCGTGAATGAAAAAGCGTGACGAGAATTCTCAACTCGAGATGTTAGAAGGTGCAAAATGAATGGGTGTCGGAGCTGCTACAATTGCTTCAGCGGGAGCTGCTATCGGTATTGGAAACGTCCTTAGTTCCTTGATTCATTCCGTGGTGTGAAATCCATCATTGGCTAAACAATCATTTGGTTATGCCATTTTGGGCTTTGCTCTAACCGAAGCTATTGCATTGTTTGCCCCAATGATGGCCTTTCTGATCTCATCCGTATTCCGATCGAAGGTTGAAGTTTCATTCGTAAAACTATCTTTTTGAAGCAGATAGTTCACAGTGCTCATTCTATAGATACTAGAAAAGCCAACTCATGTTTCCACTCCATTTTCATTACGAAGATGTATCACGTCAGGATTCGTTGCTCAAACCGAATCACGCCAACGTTATGGAAGTTCTTGGATCGTGTAAAATAAGAGTAGTACCAAAGGCAGCACCTTCTGATTTCATAATCAAAAATGGAAAATTGGCTATGGAGATTCCGCGTGGTCAGAAATTCATACAGACAAAAGGGCTTCGACAGGAAAGTCGTTTCGATCCAATCCATTCTTGGGGTCAAATAAAGACAAAAAGGGATATGTCAGTGACCTAGCATGACAAAGCACTCTCCGAGGGCATGGAATGTCTCATTTTTTGGTTAGAATCTCCACAGTAATGTCTGTTAGATTCTCCGGTTGAAATACGGGAAAACTCCATTCAATTCTTGATGGAAACGGAGTTTTGTGAATTCTCCCCGGAACTGGAAGAGCATTTCGAGATCTTCGAACATATTCGAGGGTTCAATGTGACTATTGTCACTTCGGGCAACACACAAGATGAGACTTTACTATCGTGGAGCGGCTTGCAAAAGATGAGGGGGAAACTCAATAAGATGTCGGAGAAGCAAAATATACGAGATCACAAACGTAGATTGCTCGTGGCTAAATATGAATTGAGACGAAAGCTTTATAAAGCCTTTTGTAATGATCCCGATCTTCCTAGTGATATGTAGGACAAACATCGTTATAAGTTGTCCAAGTTGCCAAGAAATAGTTCCTTTGCGCGAGTAAGAAACCGATGTATTTTCACGGGTCGCCCTCGTTCCGTATATGAGTTCTTTCGAATTTCTCGTATCGTTTTTCATGGATTAGCATCTCGAGGTCCTTTAATGGGCATAAAGAAATCATCTTGGTAGGACCAAACCAATAGAACAATAGAACAAGGGTTAGCTCTGCAGCTAGTACAAGCAAGGTAAGTAGGTCCATTACCGGCCGACTCCGAACCGAAAAGACCTAACGGGGTAATCCCTTATCTCGGATCGGAGATGCTAACGGGGGGGGAATTGAAGTGGGAGACCTCTCTACAGCCAGTGTCTATTTCTTGTCAAGTATGCCCCCCAGACATAGACTACGTACAGGGTAGTACTTTTGGAAAGATAAAATATCACCGCGTGAACATAACATTAAGTTACGAATGTAACTCCCGAGGGATCGACCACTATTCTAAATATAGTAAGGCGGGGAACTGTTGTTCATTGGAGCGCCGGAGTGCGAAGGTTGTTCTCATCATTGAAGTCAGAGTGTGGGACTAAGCCTTGCGAATGATAAAGAAAAAAACTGCTTAGTTTCATTGGAAAAACTAACGCAAATACCATATTGACTTTTTCTCGCCCTACTTCTAAGGATAGATAGTTTAGGTCAGAGAGAGTGACTTTCTGAAATTCTCTCCTTTCCAAAGCTGCGCAAGGCGGCCCCCCCAGAACAAAGCCCTACCCCTCTTTTATCTCTCCCCCTTTCTTTAATGAAAGACCCTCGCCTCACTTTCTATTCATTTTTCGGGACCCGAGGGCCTTTTTTTCAAGAGGTGATTTCGAGAATCAACCAACCGACATATCTGCAGCCCAGGTGACTCCTCCACAGCCTCCCTCTCGCCCAAATGAAATGGGATGAATCAAATCAATAAGCTTATTGCTTGATTCAGGGCACAACGAAGCCAAATTCAATCAAGGCAATGAGGCTTACTTTTCCTGACGCTGAGTCATCCTATTCCAATTTAGCTATGCTAATGGAACAGGAAAAGTTTTCAAATGATATGGACCCCAAGAGATGAGCGAGAACCCCCAATTGCTTAGGGGTCGCACTCTATCCCGCTTGGTGGACTAAATCTTCTCTCCTTTTAGAATGATTTCTCCCACACACCTTTGCCCTCTTTCACCGAAGGAAGAGGAAGGAAAAATAAATCTTCCAAGCGGCCTAAAATCAAAGGAGTTAAATTTCCATTAGATTCATTCCTAAGCTTGCTTTGTTGTAGCAAGATGATTAGTCCGAGAGTGCTGGAGAGAAGAGAAAGCGGTAAAAACCTCTCGGATTCGGTCACTGAGCAGTCGACGATTCTTTCACTGTATACCCCCCATCCTTCGGAGATGGAAGAAGGGACACTATAATTATATATAATAGGGCCCCAGAATGCTAAAAGGTGGGGGAATAAGAGTTGTCACGATAGAAAAGAGCAAGAAATGACTATAAGGAACCAACGATTCTCTCTTGTTAAACAACCTATATTCTCCACACTTAATCAGCATTTGATAGATTATCCAACCCCGAGCAATCTTAGTTATTGGTGGGGGTTCGGTCCGTTAGCTAGTATTTGTTTAGTCATTCAGATAATGACTGTCGTTTTTTTATCTATGCATCACACACCTCATGTGGATCTAGCTTTCAACAGCATAGAACACATTATGAGAGATGTTGAAGGGGGCTGGTTGCTCCATTATATGCATGCTAATGGGGCAAGTATGTTTCTCATTGTGGTTCACCTTCATATTTTTGGTGGTCTATATCATGCGAGTTATAGCAGTCCTAGGGAATTTGTTCGGTGTCTAGGAGTTGTAATCTTCCTATTAATGATTGTGACACTTTTATAGGATACGTACCACCTTGGGGTCAGATGAGCTTTTGGGGGGCTACAGTAATTACAAGCTTAGCCAGCGTCATACCTGTAGTAGGAGATACCATAGTGACTTGGCTTTGGGGCGGTTTCTCTGTGGACAATGCCACCTTAATTCATTTTTTTAGTCTTCATTATTTACTCCCCTTTATTTTAGTAGGTGCCAGTCTTCTTCATCTGGCCGCATTGCATCAATATGGATCAAATAATCCATTGGGTGTACATTCAGAGATGGATAAATTGCTTCTTACCCTTATTTTTATGTAAAGGATCTAGTAGGTTGGGTAGCTTTTGCTATCTTTTCTTCCATTTGGATTTTTTATGCTCCTAATGTTTTGGGGCATCCCGACAATTATATACCTGCTAATCCGATGCCCACCCCGCCTCATATTGTGCCGGAATGGTATTTCCTACCGATCCATGCCATTCTTCGTAGTATACCTGACAAATCGGGAGGTGTAGCCGCAATAGCACCAGTTTTTATATATCTGTTGGCTTTACCTTTTTTGAAAAGTATGTATGTACGTAGTTCAAGTTTTCACCCGATTCACCAAGGAATATTTTGGTTGCTTTTGGCAGATCACTTACTACTAGGTTGGATCGATGTCAACCTGTGGAGGCACCATTTGTTACTATTGGACAAATTTCTCCTTTTGTTTTCTTCTTGTTCTTTGCCATAACACCCATTCCGGGACGAGTTGGAAGAAGAATTCCTAATTCTTACACGAATGAGACTGATCACACCTGATCAGTGAAAAATTCTGACACCAATCATTTACGAGTGAGTATACACCAAGAATTGACAAGCGGGTGAGTTTTCTAGTTGGCTATGTTGATATAATTAGATAGGAAAAGATACTCTACTATAGGTAGGCTGAACTTTTAAATTCGGGGCTTTGTCCCCTCCCCCTCCCTCTCCCTTACTCGCCCTTTTAAAGCCAGAACATTCGCATAGAGGGGTATATGTATCAAACATGCTCCTCCACTGATGACAAAATGACCCAATCTCTCTCTCTTTCCTTATAGGCAGCAAGAGTCCGTAATCCCCCAGCGGTTATATCGGTCTCTTCTGCTTAATCAGTACAAGATTCCGTCCTCGCTTCTTTCGTGGGTGGGTATAGTGCTTTCCTTCCTCTAGTTCGAGAGTTGCAGGAGCAAGAAAGGGGATTCCATATTAGTAGTTATAGTTGGCACTCATCCCGCTCTTGCTGCATCGATTGAATTCAGTATGAGTGAAGTTCCTGTTCTATTTCGTATCAAGTAGGGATCCTCTGTTTAGCAAATCGATTTTCTGTTTAGCTTAGCTCATCTCGGTTATCTCTTATCTCGGTTATAGAAAACGTTCTTGATGGCCCTTTTTATTTGCCTAAATCGCGAGTTTACGAGGTCTTAGGGTCACAATAGGTCTCTTCAAATGCTGCCGCCGTTTATTGAAACTGGAATTCATAAGTTGAAGTATAGTACGCAAGGAAGGACCTATCTGAAAGGAAGGTAACGGCTGACAGATAGGGACATCGGTTTAGCTCCCTCAATGGGTAGCTCATTATCTCATTGGCTAGCTAGCTCATATGGGATAGGTCTTTGGCTTGCTCCTGTCCGCTCTTTGGTTATCTATCGGAAA